TCTCGCTCTGGGTGGAGCGTAAGGGAGTGTCAGACTTTTACTGACTAAAAACCATCCGTGTTCCTTCAGTGCCCTTACGTTCCGGAGCCGCGGTATCTCTTTCGAATAGCCCGCAGCCCCGGCAGGCGTCGGCCCTTGCGGGTCCCATCACGCTGCTGACAGCTCTTTGAGGCGCGCGTGGAACAAAACGCGCCGTCGACACGGCCTGTCGTCGTTAGACGGACGGACGACGAGCTACCCATTACTCGCCGTCCCCAGGCCCGCGCCTACGGTGGCCGGGGGCCACGACGTAGCCCCCGACGCCCGGGGCGTCTCCCGCGGCGGCCGGGGAGGAAAGCTGCTGCTCTTTCCTTCTCCCGCTCCGCCACCTCCTTCGCTAGCATCACTGCTTCGCAGAAGGTGGTGACGGCATCATCATGCCTGTTACCAAGTCACAAAGTGCCTACACTTCGCTTACCAGTACTAGGCTACCACTGGTATACTTTTCTTCCGTTATATACGTGATAGAGCCATGCTGCAGCTTTATTTGTATGGTTGTAACACGTATGAGTCGACTGGATCAGGGAAGGACCACTCTCTCACAGAATACCAGCGCAAAATAGCAGTTAAATGCTGCTGTGTTTCGTATGGTGAGTGTAGAGAACCGGAGACCTTTTTTTACTGAAAACGAGGCATTCCATCTTCGTCCTCGGGGGTGACAACGCATCTTCGTTTTGATTCTTAAACGAGGAAAGATGTAGAGTGTTTAGGCCACAATATACACTTACTTTCAGATGGACTATGTGCTCGTTAGTCACTTAAAAAAAAGATACTCATGTTATATTTATACGTGATATAAACATGTAACGTATAAACATTGCAAGGGGTAGAACCACGCTCTCACAAAATACAGACGTGAAATAGCGGCTTGATACTGCTGTGTTTCGTATGGTGAATGTTGAGAACCGGAAACCTGATTTACTGGGAATTTCATTTAATTTCATTTGAATTTGCATTCCATGTCGGTCCTCAGTGGTTGTGTTTGGGTTCTTTGTTGAGGATAAATTTAGATGTCCATGAGCCATAGCATTTACTTGCCACTGTGTGGACTGTGTGCTCATTTGTAACCCTAAACCCAAATATACGTGACCGGGAAATATTGCAACTAATTAAAACTATTGCAAAAATATTATGAAATCGTGGGTACTGACTTCTGCTCGCAGTTCTACCCTAAAGCATTGAAATTAAATTAAGTTTGACATAAAGCTGAAAAACGAGTAACAACACAAAATAGTTCAATAATTGCCGTGGCCAACACGCATGTCCTTGGCAACTACGGCACATTTCCTACCTATGAGGCGATCTATGGAAAAGCTTCAGACTTTTGATGGGCTGCAAAATGAAGACCAATGTCATATTCTTAATTTTTTATGGATGCCTAATTAGGACCCAGGCATTGCACGGACTTGACCACTTTACGCGGTACGCTTCACAATTAACATATAGCATCTGAATCACATACCAGTCACCAGTCAGTTTTCTGCGACTAGATTTGAACGTGCATAATAATTGGATAATTTCAAATATTTATACATTAAATGTTTGTAAGTATATTGGAAACTTTATTTAATTTATTTTCTGTTTTATTATTTATTGAGCACATTATTATTTGTTGTACATATTATTATTGTATACAGTGTAGTATCGGTAAAAGCACAGAGTAATAATCCCACTACCCCATATTTTGCAGATAATATACTATCTCAAAAAGCCGTGGTAGCTCAGCGGCTAAACGCTCGCTATAAATTTCACAGTACGCGAGCAACCCAGGTATGATTCCGACCGACACTGAAGAAATTGTTCATTGCAATTTCAATAGCTGATTTTATCACGTATTTGAAAGTGAAGGAGAACATTTTGAGAAAACTTTCAATATGAGGAATGAAATTCTCCTTCCTTAGATTATCGATAAATAAACGAGAAGGGAAAATTTTGTACGCCTAATTAAGCATATTGCGCGCTCAAAGGAGTGCGAGATATTTCATAGTTAAATTTTATATGAAGAAGGGGCGTAGAACCAGTAGAACGCTTAAGTTTATATAAACTAAATTAAATAAAACATACATTGCTTACGTTCATACTAGGCATGTCGATATAAAAAATTTTTTGTTGTTGGCGGACACAAAAATAACCGGTCGTACTTGGTTGATAATTTGAACGCAATATACATTTGAATAAAATAAATATTTATGAACGCATCCAAAAATATCGAGAAGTTGTCATTTCGTTTTAATTTCAAAAATTCTAGTTCTATTGTCAATCCTCTATCTACGTTCTAATCTTACCGGTGGGATGTGGGCTAACGGACTAAATGCCGACTAGTTTTAGTTATTACGATTCGCCAATTAAGGCAGACAAAGGTCTGCAATCATACAGCCTAGTCTGATGTGAATTTTAACAATATCAAACAAAGATGAGTCGCACTTAGCTAATGATGATGATGAAACAAAGATGGCTACATTATACGTTGTGAACTAAGATGGAATGTCTCACAACCAGTAATTATACATAAAATATAAGGTAAATGTAATTATAAAGGTTCAATTTACGAAAAAATCGCATATTTTATGTTTGAAAAGGTGGCGATTAATTGAAAATCGATCTTTTAATCCTCGACTTAATCGATAATGGATTCTAGTATGTTCGATTCGAATCGATGCAGTGATCAATTTTTTTAAGATTGAATCGACATGCCTAGTGCATAGTGCCATGCCAGTGTCAAACACATAACTGTCGTTTGTACAAATTATGGCGTCTGTTGGCATGCACATAATGTCGAGATATATTATTATTCTAAGGTCAATGTCAAACACATCCATAGCCTGTGATCAAACAATAGCACAAAGTAGAGATTGTTGCCAGACAATTTTTAAATGTAGGCAACATATAAATACTGACAGATTCCCTGAATAACCTATGACTTTTATGTGATTTCAAATGTCCGTTATCAAAGCGATTCACACCAGCTTCGCACGGATGATTTCTGAATCTCCATAACAGTGCCATCTACAGGGTCCACTTGTGAATCCAAACCATTCAAGAATCAAATTAATCACTCACTATACACAAAATTTCATCAAAATTCGTCAACGAATAAAAAAAAAAAAAAAAAAAAAAAAAAAATATATATATATGAATTACGGCCGACTAGTAATAATAATTATTATTATTTGGTACAAAATAGTTCAATAGTTAAGTTCGAAGACATGTGAAGTTTGCCAACAAGCTGTGGTAAGCGCTTTATAACCCTCTCAGAAACAAGAGGGAACCTGTGTCCTAAAGTGGGAATACAGGCTATCGGAATACCAGACGTTTGGTTATTTCACATCTGTCACAAAACAAGATAGTTATACCACCGTCTATTGGGCGCCATAAGGTCTTACTGGTATTTCCTTTAGTTGCCTTTTACGACACCTACCTTTGGCATGGCATGGCACCGGGGTAGGACCACGCTCTCACGGTACACCAGCGTGAAATAGCAGCTTAATGCTAGCTGTGTTTCGTATGGTGAGTGTAGAGAACCGGAGACCATTTTTACTGGAAACGAGGCATTCCATCGTATTCCTCAAGGGAACGAATCAATACCCAAATGAGTGTATCATTTGGATATTGATTGGTAATTATTATTAGATAAATATAAATGTTTATGAGCCACGGAATCCACTGAACATACTATAAAAAATGGATTTACCATGTGCTCGGCGGTGAAGGAAAACATCGTGAGGAAACCTGCACGTCATGTATGAAGACATCTGAAGTTCACGAACACGCATTGGGGCAGTACGGCGGACAATTCTTTGCCCTAAAACCCTCTCCGAAATGAGCGGAGGCTTGTGCCCAGCAGTGGGACCTATATAGGCTGTAACTTTACTTTACGACAACAGAAGTCCATGTTCAGCAGGGGACCTCTACGGGCTGGCGATGATATATGCTATAATTTTACTATTTTTTGTCTCAGTCAAAGATGTAGATACCTCAAAGAACTGACAAGTAATGGGGAAGAAAAGGACATAATCGTTTTAAGCCCACTAGAAATTTTAACGATATTTAATTTTATTTCAAATGCGATTGTTCATTGACGGCGGTAGTCACTTACCATCAGGTGAGCCACATGCTCGTTTGCCCGCTCTTCTATAAAAAAGATACCAATTTATTATAGTAAACAGCCTTAAAATTTTAAAAAAATCTAACCGGAATCATGAATTCTGGAAAATAAAACTTGTTTTGATATTCGTGTGATGGCTAATGTAAAAAAAAAAATAATGTGAAAAAAATGAGTGTAACGAAGAACGAACTACTAAAAGGATTTTCCATCAATCTTAAAGTACCTCTAAATGCTGAATGTTCTATAACTTTGTTTTATGTTACTGACCAGTGCACTATTTTAATTTATAATCCGGTGATAACTACTAGAAAATCACTTTCAATTTGTTTTTATGTTATTGTGATATTCATATTTTAATTTTCAACACCTCAGTATTCTCGTTAGTTACGGTTAAACTAATATAACTTTTGTCTCTATAGATTATAAGGAATAAATCAACATGTATTTCATTAAGTTACGCCAAAATTTGTTGTGGGCCCATTCTCCATAGAAAAAGAAATTGTCTCCTTTCTCAAGCGTAATCCTCGTAACAGTAAGCCGAGTAAAGGGCGGTAGAGTAGAGAGACTAACAGATTATCTGGGTCGATAGATGTAGGTAGCTCATGGCAAAATAATAAAACGCTACTCAATTTTAGGACTCGTGCTGTCTCTATTACTTTAAGTCAAAATGACTGTGACACCACGAGACCTAACGTCGTAAAATTGAGTAGCGTTTGAGTATTTAGCCATAAGTCTCGTGTTGTCTCTGTCACTTAAATTCAAAATGACTGTAAAAAAATGAAAATAATAAAAAAATTACAATACCTATTCGATTTATTTTACATAATAAAATTATTGTTTGTTGTATTTGTTGCAGGAATATAGGCTACCTATCCAGTTACATTTTCGCGGACTTGCTGGATGTAACAACAGTGCTGTGGATCGGTCTACTTGTGCCGACTGTGGTGTTTTTTACATTCCTGATTATGCCTGAGACGCCGGAATTTCTAGTTAAACAAGGAAAAGTTGATGTAAGTCCTCCTTCTTCTTCTTCATTCCTTTATGGCTTCTCTTAATAAAATTCTATCAATACCCAGTCAGTCATTTGATTAACAACAAAGTATATAAAATCAAGTATAATATATATATATATATATATATATATATATATATATATTTGTGATTGGTTTCTAATCCACAACAAGCAACAACACATACATTTGTAATTCTGCCACCAACAATGATTCATATTGAAAAATGACCGCAGCGAAGATGGCAAATTTTTTGGCTTTACGATGGTGGAAAATCCAAGGTTCCATTTATTTTATGTTTTTAATTTGGTCCCAGACCTTGCCAAGATGCCATAAAGTCAGATCCTGCTGGTGGAAGCAAGTCATGGGGGAAAATTTCGTATTGAGAGAGGGTACCTCTTTAGCCAAGAAATCAGCACACTCATTACGTTGTATTTCGGAATGGTCTGGAATCCAAGCTAAAACTACTTTTAGGCCTTTTTTGTGACAATTGTATAATGCTTTTTTAGTAAAGAGGGTAGGGGAGGAATTTTATTTAGAGTGGAAAGAGCTGGAGATAATATGGAGACATCTAAGAAAGTCTAAGAGAATTAAGGTATTTTCCAGGTTGTGAGATTCCTAGTAAATTATGAATATTCGATCGAGTTAGGAATTTCTATAACGTTAGTTACGATGGGCTGTTTTCCGCTACTCCACCTCCAAGTGCGTATTTTGAGCGTGGGCAGGAATATTACAATTATTCGAGCCATGAAATCTCCTCGAAGAATTTCATTAGTCCTTTGATGTTGCGAGCATCTTCGGGGCATTCACCGGCGCCGCGATGTTTAGCCCTATATGCTGCGACCTCTTGACATGCCAGCAACACGTGGGCCGCCGTTTTCTCCTTCATTTCATTCATTCATTCATACATGCCTCTTGTTGCGAACTTGTTATCTGTGGCTTATGTAACGTAAAAATTATGTTTTGTATTGTTAGATTCGCACAGTTTTAAATGCGTTCAATTAAAACTGATCTATTATAGAATCTGGTTAGTCATTGAATTTATGGACTTATTTTATACCGTTGATACGGTCGTGATATTACAACGGCGTTTGTTTTAGGACATATTTTCTTGGACTTTCCCTACAGAAATCACACGGACCTTATTAGTTTATTTGCATGTAACAAACGGGCAGGCGTTATATATAGTAGATATGTTGTAGATATAATGTTAATTTTAGGTTATAACGTCCATCAATCGTATGCCACGAGATCGTTTTAGCTGTGTTTGTCTCTACTAGGCCGCAGGACTAAATGGATTGATGAACGGATGACGGAGTTTCTTATGATACCATCGCATGGTGATACAAAAGACGCTCTTTCACAAAAGGAAAAAAATAAGAGGAACTTTTTTCTTCATAAGCGACTGTAACTTAAACTTTAGGGTAGAGTTTGCAGACTTAGGATTTCGTGGTTGTGAATCCGCCAATGAACTACTGTGACTACTCCTATCACCTAGAGCTGTAAACGAAGTGGTTAGTAAAATATTATACCTGGTAGAGCCTTGCTGCTGCTTTACTATGGTTGTAGATCGAATGGGTTGTACTACGCTCTCTCAGAATATCAAAGTAGCCTAATGCTGCTAGAGAACTGGAGACCCTTTTTATTAGAAACGAGACATTCCATCTTAGTCCTCAGAGGTGACAATGCATCTGCATTTTTATTCTTAATAGAGAATAGATGTAGATGTCTATGGGCCACCCTATCCACTTACCATCAGGTAGACTGTATGCTCACTTGTCACTCTTATTATATTTAAAAAAAATCCCTATTTTAATAATGTAAACGCTGACGTCAGTATTCTTTACAACAAGCAATCTAAAATAATCGATGTAAACATTACAGGAAGCAAACAATTTCAAGCTACATTTTGTGTAGTAATTGCGTAATTATAGTCATTCACCACTTAAAATAATAACAAGTGATTATTTCATTATTTAAATAATTATACTCTTCATAACCTAATCACCTATTAAGTTCGTTATGACTATTAACCTATGAATAGTGCCGTAAACATTATATCCACGTTATTGCTATGTGGTTTCAGCCACTTACGTTTGCAGCAGCTTAGGGAGGGTTGAAGTGGAAGGAGACGAAGACTTTTCCCATATTACTTTTATTTTGTAACTTTGAGCTAACAACAAAACCTGGGTTTTATACTATGTTGAATATTCTTAAATCACGTAAGTTAATTAAGTTATGTCTTTAAAGACGTGCTGTTATTTGCTTAGCAGGCGGTCCTGTATGGTAGGTGACTTCCTAATTGCTTGCAAGGTTTCGGTAGGCAAATGTAACTATAATCACCCCATATTGTCATAATAAAAGGCAACTATGGCAAAGGCCAGAAACACCTTGGAGCCTTTGATAGTCATCCGGTGTAATGTGCTGTTGAAATGGAACACAAATGAAAAAAACAAAAATTAAAGGAGTTATTTTAGAGACCTTTGAGTAGTTGTAGTGATTTTGTAATTACTTTGAGTAATTGTATAATGTGATGTATTAGTGTTAGTTATGATGTATTCTGATGTAGCTAGAGGTTGGTTATGAAAAGATAACAAGTGGTAAAATTCAAAATTTTGCGCAACCGACTTCAATATAATTAAAATGAGAAGACAGTCAATTAAATACTCATAATTAAGGATAACCTAAAAACTACTAGTCATATCTTGATTAAATTTATATGGGACTAAACAAGAAGTGCCAGCTTTTAGATAAAAAGAATCAAAATCGGTTTACACAGAGAAAAGTTCTGAGGTAATAGATATAAAAAACATACAGTAGAATTGAATACCTCCTCCCTTTTGATATCGTTAAAAAAACTGTATCGTGAAGGCAGTTTCTATACTCTTACTTAAATTGTTATTATGAAGACGTTGCTGCAAATCTCCTAGTTTATTTCCCTCTGTCACCTCTTACGACACCCACGGGACGATATTGGGTAGTGAATATTCTTACACCGCCACTATATAATCAATTGGTAATATTATCAGCCTGATTTCATCTTGATAACTTCTATTTTCAGGAAGCTAAAACGGTTCTTGCATGGCTTCGAGGAGTAAGCGTGATAGACTCGTCTTTGGAAGAGGATATGGACAAAATAGTTAAAGCGGATAAACGGACGCAAGCTGACACGAAATCTGCCTGGAATAATATAAGTGAGTCTGTTGCATCCGATAAGTTACTGCCACCACTTTTTGATCACGGCGGCCTGCCTCATTGAAGATTAGTCTCATCACTGCGCGGGATATAGTGCCTAAGTGTATGCGTAAGCACAGGTGCACCCTCTATTTCCTCATTCTCACAGTCCGATGGGATCTGACACGACCGGAGAGAGATCAAGCGCGGTACCAACGACTTAACGAGCCTTCCGAGGCAAGGGGTCAATCAGAGTCAGCTTTGTGACTCCGGGCTGCAACTAAGAATTTCTTGACAGAAAAACCCAATTACCGATTTTTGTTCGGGATTCGAAGCCGAAACCTCATGATTAGCAATCGCGATTTCTTGGACTAGACCAACAAGGCAGTCAAAGTTGTCTTTTGTCTCACATTACTGTGTCCTACGGAAATTTCGATCATCTTTTTTGTAGTGCGAGAGTGTCTGTGAAGAAACAATCTCTGTCATGTGGTGAACCAGCAAAAAAAACCATTAGTTATTAATTATTAATATTTATATGTGGTAGAGCTACGTTGCAGCTATATTGTGGCTGTAGTACGCATAGGTCGGCTCGACCGGGATAGGACCACGCTATCACAGAATACCAGCGTAAAATAACAGCTTAATGATGTTGTGTTCCGTATGGCGAATGTGCTGAACTGGAGACTATTTTCACTAGAAACGATACATTCCATTCAGAAACAAGACAATCACACTTAGCAGTGGCAAGCAGTTTGATTCTTTAGGCCCGGTTTACATTTGATGAGATGTGGGCCTAATAAAGGATAGACGTAGCATCTAGTTGCCATCATGTGGCATGTTTACTCGTTTGTCACTGTTATAATATAAAGTAAATAAATTTACAGCCTGCTAGTATATACGTCCTACTGCTGGGCACACACTTCTGAGTGGGTTGTGGTTTCGGTCTGACAATGTTGTTTTCCTTCACCGCCGAGCATTAAATCAGATGAACGGAGCTGTGGTAGCTCAGTGGCTTACCGCTCACTGTAAATTTCACAGTAATCGAGCAACCCAGGTTCGCTGCCAGCCGACTCCAATGAAACTGTTAATTGCAATTTGAAGTGCTGGTTTACCTTATACTATAAAAAAACGTAATCGCAGCGATAAGTAGGCGGTTAAGTTAACAGTGTTACCCGCCACAAGGAACCAGTATGGGTAGTATACAAAGCTAGACGACTCGGAGACTCAGTGGTTAAGAGTTATACTGCGGCCGAATCCCGTACAGCAGAAGTATTGTCTACAGATACTATTAAGTGGACTCCACGTCCTAATCCGGACTTTCGTCCTTGTGCGATTTATGTGCGCAAAACGCGTCCATAACAAAGTTACTAGTCTGATGGAAAAGTTACTAATCTGGCGACCACCTTTTATTAAACAAGTGAAGATTTATAATTTATAATAAAATAATTTTTTTTCCTTGCGTTCGTTGTCACTTGGTGAAACTTCATCTTGATATTTGTGATTTGGTAAAGCACTTGTAATTTTTTCGCGATATTATTTTAAATTATTGATCTGACTATAAAAACCGGCCGGTTACAAACCACGGCATTATCAGGGTATTTATGATCAACGACCTACGAGGATATAATATGTACCTATAGGTATTTTCGTTATTTTAACCACTTGTACTTGACAAGTGCTTAACCAATTCACAAAATAAAGCGAAGATTTATTTATTTCAGATTTGTTTCATTATGACTTAACCTGTGTAAAAACTTACTAAATGCTTTTATCTTTATATTAAAATCGTTTTGCTTCATTGAGTAAGCGTGATTCGTTTGAGGTTATACTCACACAGTTTATTTTCTCAATACAATGCTTCATCTTCATCTTCATCTACGTTAGAATCCAATAGATAGTGCTGTTATTAAAACTTATATATTTATGGACCAAAATTACTCATATATATTGCAATATGTTACTTTAGTTTTGTGCCAAAAATTATCACAATATTTTTTTAAACTTTATACTAAAATCCGATATCGTGGAGGCGGTTTACCTACATAAATTGCATAAGGACACACAATCTGGATATTCTACGTTGAGTTTACAGTTATTAATAAGTATTTACCATTGCTTGCACTGCTGTGTTCCGGTCTGAATAGAGAGCCATTATAATTACAGGCTCTTTGGCATTCCATCTCAGTCCTCAGTGGTTGTAACCACGCAACTGTAGCTTTCTTTGTTTGAAGCTGGCTGCAGGTAGGGTTACGAACGACGTGAATTTTCCTGACAAGTACGGAATTTTAACCCTCTGTTAGGGAAACAGGGAAATCTCAGGAATTTATAAATAGAAAGAGAAAAATATGAAAAATACAAATTAAAATATTTCTTAAACAGTTTAATCAAAAATAATAATAATAAATTAATTAAATCTCAACAATTACATTGTTTCATTCATCTTTTTTTGTAGGATAGGGTGACAAACGAGCACACAGTCCACCTGATGGTGAATGGCATAGATCTCATCTCGTACGAACAACGGATGTGCTGTCACCCGTGAGAAATAAGATGGAATGCCTCGTTTCCAGTAAAAAGGGTCTCCGGTTCTCTACAATTACCATACGAAACACAACAGCATTAAGCTACTATCTTGCGCTGGTATTCTATGAGAGCGTGGTCTTTCCCCGGTCGAGCCTACCCATTCGTGCTACAACTATACTACTAATATAACTGCAGCATGGCTCTACCACTTAAAAATCTGATCTGATTCGTACTTCTTATTGCTGAATATTGCGCATATGTCAAGCACATACACGAGTTTTTTTTATAATTAAATTATTTTGCTGCCTTTGCATCATTGTCAGGAAATTTATTAAAAAGTTAGGGATTTTGCCAGGAAAACTCACTTTCGGATCTGGTAGTCCTAGTTGCAGGTGATCGTGAACTGTAGTAACTACTAACCTATTTAAAAAGAATCCGGAAAAAATTCAGAATAAAACTCACCGCGCCTCCTATTAGAAAAAAATAGCAACTTCTGCCAGGCCAGCTAGTATAATATGTTATGAAAAATATATCTGTATTGCTTTATTTTAGTACACGACCGGCCAACACTTAAAGCGTTCATCATCACCCTGGTCATCAAAATAACACAGCAGTTCGATGGCTACTTGATCGTGTTAATCTACGCTGGATTTGTCTTCGCGAAAGCAGCCGACTCCATCACCCTCCGACTCAGTCCGAACAAACAGATCATAATGATTGGCGTCGTACAGCTGCTGGGTTCCATCGTAGCCACCTGCATTGTTGAGAAGACTGGGCGTAAAGTATGTTTGAACATTTGTTAAATTCACCATGTTTTTTAAACCTAAATGATGCTCAATTTGAAGATGGCGTTAAGTCTAGTGTTATCTCTATCACTTTAAATCAAAGTGAGTGTGACACCACGAGAATTGACGACATCTTAAAATTGTATATTAATCATATGTTATATATTTACAAAACATACAAATACATATATACCATGTTAAAAAACCGTCCATATATTCGTCCTAGTCCATATATTCAGCAGTTAGTTTTTAAAAGGCTGTTATGAATTAATGAAAAGTACATGGTCATCATTTTCATCATCATCATTACAGCCCTTCACACAATAAGTCCACTGCTGGAAATAGGCTTACTCCAATGAATGCACCAAAGCACGGTTACGAGTCACGTGCATTCATCGACGTCTCGCATGTCTTACCTGGTTGTCACTCCATCTAGAATGCGGAAGCCCTACACACTGCCTGCTGGTACGAGCCTGCCACTCGCAAACCTTTCTTCACCATCGGTCGTCGGTTCTTCGAGCTATACGGCCGGCCCATTGCCACTTCATTTCACTAATTTGTTAGGCTATGTCATTTAGTCTGATTTTACTGTGAATATCCTCGTTTTGAAGTCTATCATGCAGAGAAACCCTGAGCGTAGTCCTCTCCATAGCTCGCAGAGCGAACTTCAACTTACTCTTATGGCCAATAGTGAACCAGATTGTACAACCAGTGCCAACACGCACTGGTTGTACAATCTTGTTTAGAGGTATTCCTAACGAGAAGATGTGTCGTAATCTCCCGAACGCTGCCCAACCGAGTTATACCGAATTTCCCTACCTTCAACTCACCGTTCTCTCTCAAGTCTATTTGTGCGTTGAAGTTTTTTACACCATATAGTGGGTTTTGGAGGAATGCATGGCTCTAGAAATATCCTCATACATTTCCTCCGCCTCCTCATCGTGATGTGGCGAGATTGGTGCGTAAACCAGTATAACCTTCAGCGAATACCGTCTGTTGATTCTGATTATTAGGTACACAACCCCACTCGATACACTCCCAATCTTTACAACATTGCTTACTTGAGACTTGTAGAAGATAAATCCGAATCATGCTTGGGACAGATGGTTGCCATCCCAGTGATAGAAAAAGTTGCCAGATTCGAGGATTACCGTATTCTCCCCCGCTCTTCAGACCTCAAATAATCCCAACGCAACTTGTCTGTCTCTTCATCCAGCTCCAGGATCTTTTCCTCAGTCCTCAGGGTACGTGCGATATATGTTGCTAGGTCCGTCTTAGGTGGCAACCGAACCTCCACCGGAGATTCTTAGCATTCCATACCCCGCTGTTGCCATGGTCCCCACCGTAGCCAGGGAATATCGAGGCTGCCGGCACTGGAGCCGTCTTTGTGTAACTCTCGTCATGGGAGGTATATTGCCATAGTAGTCACGCTTGGCGAGCGGTCTGGCAACCGCATTTTTTATTTTTGTTTGCTGTTTTCGGAAAGATACTGCTGCCCATCTTATATCTCAGTTTGTCTTCTTATGACACCCACTGTAAGATAATATGTTATAAATTATAATGTTACAATTGGTGCAAATGGTAGTATATCTTCGTATCCGCCACTAAACGGGCGCAATGGGTCATTATTAATTTATATTCGTGTGTAAAATATAGACTTGTAAATGCGCCAGCTGGCAGGTTGGTGAGGGCAGAGCTGGCAATAGGATATCATCATTTAAATTAAAATGTTTTTTTTTCGGTTTGTGTGTCCCGTCTATGCGTTCATATAAATTTTGTGCTCCATTTTTTCATGTAAATTCAACGTAGGTCAGGAACCCCTAGCATAGCAGTACTGTACAAAAACTTAAGTTATAATTTATAATACTTCAAATATAAATAGCTTATTATGGCCAATATTCTTATTTCGTTTTGTATTGAACTCCAGCTCCTCTTGGTCACCACGTCGCTAGCGATGGGCGTGGGCATGCTGACTTTATCGGCTTGGTTCTACGTGACGTCGGCAGACATCTGGCTGCCAGGCTGGCTACCAGTGCTGGCGATGTGCGTGTGCATCTTCGCCGATGCGGCCGGATTCCAGCCCATATCCTACATCATTATTACCGATTTATTTACCTTCCAGGTTAGAAAATTATGTGCTAATGTTGCGTTCGCAGTTCTGTCATTTTGAGATAAAAAAGAACACATGTATTCGTTGTTTAGTCACGACATAATTACAACTAAAAATTACAAAAAAATGTTATTAAAAATAATACAACTTAAACTTATGACTATACCTTAACACTTTAGTCTTAGTGTTAAGGTATAGTCATATACTTTAGTCTAAGATATAGATTAGATAAGATATGCGATTTGTGACGAAAACTTCATGTTTTAGGATTTTTTCAAGGGCGATATCATAACGGTGTGAGCAGATTATTTGCAGAAAATTGCGACTTTAGAAATATGAAGTTTTTATTTAGTTTACAACGGAAAACCTCCATAACGTTTTACGAAAATATGCGTCAGAGCTATCTATTGGGTCGAATACAACCATTATTATAAGCTAAAATACTTTATTTTAAACGTTATTATAATGGAATATATAGTCTTTTAGTGCAACACAACAAAGTCTAATTTACAAAAATATTTCGATTTAATATTATAAAACAATACTATAAAATCACCAAAACAGCCCACTTCAATGTTATTTTTTTCCATTTGACAGCAAAATTATAAAGTATTTTAATGTAAGATGTTACTACATTAAAATACTTTTACTTTAACAATTTCATATTTTCCCACCATGTTCGACCTAAATAGGTAACATTAAAGTTTTAAACTTTGCGCGTAATCAGGATACAGATATCAATTCATTTTTTTTTCTTCACTGCCTGATGCCTATCGCCGGTTAATGCAACGATCATTTATTATTTCATTCTATTGCTAGTAATCAGTACAGTTCCTAACTTACATGCTGCTGTTTATATAAGTACATTTGATGAAATGCAAAAAAAAATGAAATCTTGTGGAAAAGTTCTTCCACTAGTCAGTACTATTGTTGTTTTCAATAAAAAAGTATAATAAGCTATCAAGGTGTATAGTATTAAAACATGTGATTTTTATATTGTAGGATGCCGTTTTTTAAAGGGCTTTTTAAAGTACCGGAGTTATGAGTTCATAAGATTTATTACTATTTTCAGAATAATATTATTCAAAAAGTTCAGAGTCTGCAACAGTGTTTGGACGAAACATTCGTTCATTTGATCAGTCCTAAATAGTAATTATAAAACACTGTTCGAATTGTGCCAAAAAGACCAGTATAACTAATAGCGACCATAATGGCTACAAGAAATTTGCTTTTTGTAGCTGTTGTAACTGTCCCGATTTTTAAAATCAAATTTCCGAAAAATTTCCGATTTTTACCTGGCCACACTATGGGAAACGAATGAAGTCGCCACCACAGAATAAATAAATAGTACGCGCAACACAACACAACGAATGATACTTTGTTAAATGATATTATATATTTAATTATCCATAATTTTATACGTTTATTTAATAGTAAGCAATTGAATAAAGCTAAACTTACGGATTCTATCGCGTTTAATCAACTACTTTTACTTATTTTATTAATTCCCGACGTTTCGGGTGCTTTACAGCACCTATGGTCACGGGGGGGGGGGACACTGAGATGTTTGACGTCCCAATGTCACTGTTAGCCCAGCTACCTTCAGTTTTTTTAATATTAATTTTTCGATCCGATCTACGCAAAACGAGCTTACAGTATCTTGAAGTCTTGCAGTGGTATGCTTGGGTTTGGGTTTGTAATTGTTTGTAAGCAATTTATAATGAAAATATTTATCACTATAAAAGATATATTTGACGGCTCCGTGGCGGAGTGGCTTAGCAATGAGTTTAACTTTAAGGGCTGTGGGTTCGATTTCCGCACGGAACTAAAATTTGTATACCTACAAATAATTGTTCCAGGGCTGGATGTTTGTCCTTGTGAAATTTATATTCTTATGCTTATTGCCCCCACGATATAATAAGTAAAAACTCTTATTGTGGAGGTAACGTTATTATAAAATAAAAACAAAAAAGATATGAGCCATGGTAGCTCAAAGCCGAAGTGTTCGTCATAAGCGCAAGCAACCCGTGTTGCCCACTGACACCAATGAAATTTTAATGAATTATCTTTACATTACGAAATAGAAAATATGTATATGAAACGATATTTATTTTATAAAATACATATTTTTCAATTCGAACATATAAGGGGTGTTTGTGAAACGCTCCCGAAAACGAAGACAGAAGATAGTACTACCTTCGATGATGGGACAAATAAAAAATCGATACCAATAAAAAAAATCAGTTTTTACAACATTTAAATAGTTTTAGTCACGTTCTATTATGTTAATACAGCTATATGAAACGATGATTTCATAAAAAAAAATCATGAAAACACTTAAACATAAAATCAGCAGTGAAGCTTAAATAGGGGTCATTATACGTTCCACACCGAATCCGCGCGGCCTGCAGCCACATGAGTAGATAAACTGAATTATCTACTCATGTACCGCAGCATTTGATCGTACGAAAATCTAATAATTTACAACATTTGTTTAAATATCTAACTTATCTACTTAACCTACTATTTTGCCACTGTGCTAGTCTCCACCTAGCCACTTTAATTCGAATTCACAGGTTAAATAAACCAAATAACTGGCTCGATTCCCCGCTAATGAAAAATTTACACAAATTATCCATCGTGTAGGTGTATTTATTGTTCAGTTATGTACAGTATTAAATTACAGTACAGTATTAAATTAAATTATTTAAAAAAGAACATATGAAACAGCTTACCGATCTCAATCCTTAAATAAACCTGCCTATATGTTAACCAACCATCGGGTTTGGTGTCGTTGTTCGACATATCGATAACACGTGGTATATTTTTCGGTTCCACAGGCCGTTTCTGGTAAATATCAACTCGTCCGTTCAAATGACGTGCTGAATGAAACCAAGCACACGTTGTTGCTTGTCTAATAACCAACGACAGAAAACTCGCTGCCGCCACCACTTTGTGCACTTTCTATGGGCGCATTCGATTACGCTTTAACACCTTGTGAACTGTCCAATATGACACACTTATTTCATCCCGACGCCTTAACAATTTAGTGACACTTTGAAAAATTATAAATTCGTAATGCACGCGAAGCATTCCTTATTATATTTTAATTTTTGTTCTATAAAATTACTTATTACGACGTAGATGGTGTTAATAAAGAAAGAAAATATTTTTTTGATTTATCATACTAAAATTTAGTCTAAACATAACGGTTTTAACATTTATTTGCTATAAAACTTTTATCTTATCTTGTAATTTATGTCGCACTTGTGGTTGAAAATTATCTTAATTTATAATACTGCATATATGTTTTTTTTTTAGTATTCATAGTACTTAATAACATACCACAAAATGTACCGGCCTAGGTATGAACTGTTTTTCAATCCGGCCAACATTTTGTGTCATTGTAATTTCTTTCTTTAAATATTATTTTGATGTAATATTTAACATAATCGTTTTCTTTTTCAGTTGCGTGGAACGGTCTCATCATTCGCAAACATTTGCGCCAAGCTAAGCAACTTCATCCAAATGAAATGGTTCAACAACGTAAGCGAGTTGATTGGCATACATTGGACGCTTCTGTTCTTTGCCGTAGTCTGTTTTGCCGCCTCTTTCTATACTGTTATATTCTTTCCGGAAACTAGAAATAAGACTGTGGAAGAAATCTACGCAAAACTTGCCAAGAGAAAAGCCATTGAGAAAAAAGAAGTGGAAGATGCAAAATCTGTGCCGTAAATGTGAGAGGAGATTGTTTGTGAGATTAAGCGAATATTTAAGAATGCTGTGAATAAAAAATTATGAAAAGATCCAGTCCAGAAACTGGCTTTACAATCATTAATTTGGCTTCGAATTTAATTAGAATTAAGATGCATTTAGATTTTTTTTATTGATAATTGATATTGGTATGTACTTATTATACAATATGAGGCAAAATTGCTCCAAGTCAATATTTAAATTTTTCATTCATGTTATCAGATATTAAAATGTCTTTATGTTTCAATACGATATTTGAAGCAAGAGGAACATTTGTTTTCAAAGTATAATGTACTTGAGGCCTCATGCATTTTAGAAGATACGATAATATGGTAGGAATTTTAAGTGTCATATTTAACAAATAGAAGTCTTTTAGTAATTCTCTAGTAGCTCTGTATATATAATTAACGTTAAAATTACAGCGTTTACAGAAATTATAGATAGTTATAAGCTGAGCTCCTGTACTAAGCGTATGCGTATCGATGTAATGCAATATGTATGGTGCTATTTAACTTAAATTGACATTGAATTTTTTTAATTTAAGTTATTCATAATAGCTTCTTGAGCTAGGTTAATCGAAGAATTCTGTAAAACGTGGATTACCTATTTACGATTTCGATTTCTAAGAAACGTTTAGTTCTCTACAATGCATTTTATTAAGCTTCGTAGTGCCACTTCTAGTCGTTGCTATGAGAAAGGTATTCGTTCTGAAACTTACGGACACATATATCAAAATAAAAATAACGATTGTTAGCATTATCTATACTGCATAACGGCTCTTAAACTAAACGTTTTTGTATAGTAGATTACATAACGTAATTACAGAATTATTGCCAACGCATCGCATAGGTGTAATGAGTACTTTAGCTCATGATTGTTTTTGATCAAATTTCTTCTGGAGGCATTGTTTTAAACCTTGCTTTTTATTACAATAAGTATTAAGTTATGTTAGGAAGATAAAATTATTAATATATTTACAAGACTTGTTGAAGTCAAGTTGCTCGTTTGTTTTAATTTCAGAGTGTATTTTAAAATGTGAATAATGATAAACGTTCAGCTCTACTCAGTATCTTGGAAAACGAATTCCTAGTGAAGAGTACCAGCGTTCGCTGTTCATAATTATAAGTATCATTAATTGGAAATGTCATTTGTTTTTAAATTATGATATATTAGAAAATGTAAATATATTTGTGTAATAAATTATTTATGCAATAATTGATTTATTTAACAAGTATCTAAAAAAGTAGTAAAATAGTAAAAAAGTATGTTACTTACACTAGGTGGTAGGCCTGCTTTTAGAGTTCGTCTGGGCTAGGGTTGCCACCTTTTTTTTTTGTTGAACAAACAGGATATCCCAATAGCCCTTTGAACTGAAAAAATTAATAAAAATAAAAGTATGTACAATATCAAAACTTTATTTACTTATTTGTAATCTACATAAAAGGGGAGTTATTTTTTAAAAATCACTTGATCCAAATGTGCTCCATTTCGTTCTTGACATACCTGTAAATGATGACTAAAATTTTCCATCACAGCGCGGCAAGTAAGCTCTGAAATGCTTGACATTTCTCGTCGGATATTTTCTTATAGTTTATCAATTGACCGCGGGTTTGTTTCGTAGACTTTAGACTTGAGGTAACCTCATAAGAAAAAGTCCATTGGACTCAGATCTGGGCTTCATGGTGGCCAGGGTATGTCTCCTCTTGAAAAGTTGACGGACGATGGGCATAGCGGTGTTAGAGGAGAGTTGCGTCATTCTGTTGAAACCAGGTCCGAGTATTGTGACCTGGAAAATCCTCGAACATTGCGACATACCGCTCTGAAGTAACAGTAACCTCGCGACTTTGTTCGTTCCCAAAAAAGTATGGGCCTATGATGCCATGCGCTTACATAGCCGCCCAAACTGTGACTTTAGGGCTATGTAAGGGCCTTTGATGTTTCGTTGTGGTTTTTCGCTACTCCAGTAGAGACAATTTTGTCTGTTGACATGCCCGTTAATGTGGAAGTAAGCCTCATCAGAGAATAATGTGTAAACGAAGTAAAGCGGTTCATCATTAACGAAATTGAAGCGGGCTACATACGACACGATATCGGTGGCGATCTAGGGTGGAGTAGTGGGGATGCCTCCTAGATTGCCTCTAAATCGTGTCGTATGTAGAGCCATCCTAAGTCGTAGCCGATATCGCCTCCTTAATCGGCTGGCAGGAGCAAAAATGCTTCCTAGATCAGCCGATGCTTCCTAGATCGGGGCACCGCCCCTCCTTACTGCGTGTGTGTAGGCGCATCGGCCCGATTTCTTTTGGCAGTCGCTGCCGGCAACCCTCGCGGAAGGAAGTTAACAAAACAGTGATACTGAATGACCTTTTTTATGTAACAAAATTTTTACATTTTAATCATATAAACGGAGCAGAAGCCTATGGCACTGATATTTTACAAAAAAACCAAAAAAAAAAAGTGAATAAAATAAATAAATTAAATGAAATTTTATCGAAATTCAAATCATATCCACCCTAGCCTGTGACCCTGCGAAGTGACATGGTCAAGAATGCCTACTAAACTAATTTTTTATTGCCGTTCGTAAAGTAGAGTGTATGATTTAAGTAAGGAGAAGATAAAGCCTCTCCTCAACAACTAACTCCTATTCCAACACTATCAACACAAGACCGCACTCATATCTCTTACAACTCCACAAGACCACAATTCGATCTCTTACGTGCCTTCATCCTCTTATAAACAACTAACTTCTACTCCTTCACCATCTCCACATCAACAAACAAGTTATATAAAAGGGAGTATGTCCGAAATTAAAGGTTTCTTTATGTTTAAAAAAAAGATATAAGCTATATTATTTTCTGATAGTTTTACTCCATAAATAAAGATTACATTAAAAAAAGTACCTATACATATTATTATACAAAAGTATTTTATTTCCTTGTTTGTTGTGTGTAATACATAACCAGATTTTGACCAAAGCAGAAATGAACAAAGAGAAGAAATAACTAAATAGCATAGGTACATAGGAGAAATTGATGTTTTTATATAAGTGGAGAAATCATTTCTAGAAGGTTATAAAAACTGTCTTCATCCATCCGGAGAAAATTAATCATGTCTTTGGAATACAGATCATTTAGTACGTTTATGTGGCTTAATTTTTGTCTCTTTTGGAGCCATTTTTTCACCCAGCAACTCCTCTTTTTCTATTTTCGAATAAATTTACCGAGAGGGCTAATGCCAAACCAATACATTGGTGTTTTAAGAGAGTTGAAGCTATTTTGAAGAACTCTACCGCATATGTGTTCCGCTCCAAGTCCGAACGCGTACTGCTAGGCAGGCCCGTGTGTAGGGTCTGCCCCGATAAAAGCCCCGATTTCTTTCCACCCTAGATCGCCACCGATATCGTCTCGTGTGTAGCCCGTTTTAGTCTACTGGTAGCGTCAGTATCTTTTAATTCCTGTACTAACTGAATTTCGTATGGATGAAATTTCTTATCTTTCTTTAAAATCCGCTGTAACGTTGATCTGGGTATGCTTACTGCTCTGGAATGCTTACGAATAGATTGGGTAGGATTTTCACGAACTGACTCTTGCACTATTTCGATGTTTTCTTCCGTCCGTGATGTCCTTGATCGGCACGATCTTTGTTTATCCAACGTAGAACCAGTCTCCTCGAACTTTCGAACCCAGTTCTTAATCATTTGAACACTAGGACAGCCATGAAACGTGCGTAAATTGCGATGTTCTCGAAATTTACGTCGCGCAACGGTGACCGAATCATTATTGCGGTAAAACTCACGCACACAATAAGCACGGTCCGCTCCGTTGAAACGTACCATGGCATGGTGACATGGTGACTAAACTCCGAAAGACCGTTGGTGCTCCCCCCGCACCCCCGCGCACCGTTCTGCGCGCTATTTACATTTTATTCGAAATTTAAATTTTAAAGGACTTATGGGACAACCAGTATATAGTATTTTTTCCACAAAAATATAGCACTTTTGAGAAGTTCAGGAGAAAAAAGTAGACATTTATTTTTAATCTATTTTATATGTATTTTTCCATGTATAATTGTTAAAGCTCTTTGCTTTGGCCATCAATGATCTAACCTTACCTCTACTACTACTACTACTCTACCTTACTATTAAAATAATTATAGGAGTCTGAGCAATTTAGATTCATATTAAAATAAAGTAACAGTTATGTTTTAATTAAATTAACACATGCTATTTTTATTTCTTCTTTCAATTTTTACATTCATGATGGAAATAATTCTTTCTTCTTCCGTAAAACATACTTGTTCCAGACTTCAATCACAGTTAATATAAAAAAGCACGACAGTTGAATTAGGAATAAAAATATAGTATTTTTCGTACTAAGTATATTATTTTTCTGTAATATATAGTACAATTGACTGAAATATAGTACGATACTATAGATTAAAGCACGGGTGCCAACCCTAGTCTAAGCTAATCTCGTCCTCTTCTCTATTTCCGCTTCTAAAAATAGCAGTGCACGCACTCCTGTGTTCCAGTTTGAATAGGCTGTAAAGAGCCAGTATAATAACAAAAACAGAAACTTTTTTTATACAATATTATATTTAAGATTACAAATAATACTTAATGAAAGTCAGTCTTCTGTTTAATTTACCACTCGTTCGGAAAAGGTATCTGTCCCGAGAAGAACCAGCAAGAAACCTTACATATTTTTTATAGAATAAGGGTTTTTTTTATAGAATAAGGGTGACAAACGAGCACAGAGTCCACCTAATGATAAGTGGATGCTTCGGCCCATAAACATCCACATTGATCCTCCATTAAGAATTATAGATAAGATTAAGAATAGATAAAACGCAAATGCGTTGTCACCCCTGAGGACTAAGATCGAACGCTTCGTATCCAGTGAAAAAGGGTTTCCGGATCACTACATTCACCATAAGAATCACAGCAGTGTTAAGATGCTATTTTACGCTGGTATTCTGTGAGAGCG